TCCCGAGGACAGCGTTATATCGAGGTAGAGGTGTATTTGCAGACCCATTGGGCTATCGCCACAGCCAGCTTCCTTCTGGTGGCCTGTTCCTGGATCTTTAGGAAATTATGTTAATTGGCCACTACACTCCCCATCTTTTACCTTCTGTGCAAGCTACTAGGTGAGGCAACTACCCCACACAATTTCAAGGCCTTCTATCCTGATCCTCCTACTTAGAGAAACAGGAGAGAGATGCCAAAATACATTTGTACTGGGCCACGAGGACAGATGCTGAAGCTCTAACGGCAGGACAAGTTAAGATTCAAAAGTATAACCTGATGATCAAAATATTTTAGTATTAATTATTACCAGATAGAAGTGACGGAAAGTGCACCATTTGTCTAAATGTGCAACACGTCCTATAGTTTTAACTTTCATTCCCTTCAATTTGTGATAAGTAATGATGGAAATATTTTGGGCTGGGTTTTTAGGTAGAATGAGAAATTGATAGTTTTAATCTGCAGGGGTAAGCAATTAACTCCTTCCAAGCCGGTGTATCCTGCTAGTGATCGTAAATATTATTGTAGCGGAGTGGTTACCCCGCTCCTGCCCTAAAGGGTTTAAAACAGCCCTGGGGGAAGGTTGTGGATGGGAGCTGCTAAGCTAGGCTGATTGGGAAGCAGCTGCAGCTGGGCCACACCCCAATCAGGTCTCAGCTGGCCCTATATAAAAAGGCTGTGATCCAGAGGCCAAAAAGTCTCCTCTGCATTCAGAGAGAGAAGGGCCTGGCTGCAGGGAGCTGAGACAGAGTACCTGAGTGGAGCAGGGCTGGGGACAAGCTGAGGAGCTGAGGAGCTCCAGCCAGGAAAGCCCCAGGCTGTGGCCTAGTAGAAAGCCAAGGGGTACTGGGGGTTGCAGAGGGCAGCCCAGGGGTAGGCCAAGGCAGCAGGTCCAAACCCAACCTTGCCTGTGATGAGTGGCCTATACTGCAGTCTGCCCCAGGGAGCGGGGCTAGTTGGTGACTGGCAGTGGCCTTATTCTGAGGCGAGGTAGGGATAGTGGGTGGGGGTTCCCCGGGGAGGGGAGACCCTAGTACTGAGGAGTGTACTGCCAGGGGGCAGCACCCCAGATAAAAGGGCACCGGGGTCCAGGATGGACACGGGGGCCAGAGGACAGGCAGATCACCAGTCTGCAGAGGGCGCTCCAGGACTCTGGAAGAGCTAATTCCTGAGACGACCAGCAGGAGGCGCTGCAGGGGTGAGTCCGCCCTTCTACAATTATCTTATGGTCAGCATCATAACTGATCCTAGTTCCAACATCACATCTCTGGATATCACAACCACACCAAACAATAGAATCCTCCAAGGAATCTCTCATTTCTTCCTCCTGTTGCCAGTAACACAGTGGTTTCATGTGCAGAATATTTTTAGCCTCCCTAAAATAAAACTGTCAATAAAACATATGTACCTGTTTTTCCAGATAAAAGGCTTTCTTCCTTTAGTACATATTTTAATGTGACCCATTGTTCCCATATCCAGACAAAGCAAATGTACTAATAGAACTGTAGCTTCTGTTTCTGAATGATCCTAGACAAAACACTCTGAACTACGAGGGATAAACCTGGAATCCTATCAAACTTCTCCACTTAGGAGAATGGCTCACTCTCTTTGCCAGTGTCTTTTAAATCATGTTCTCAGTGAAAAATTATTGGAAGTCTCCTGTAGGCTCCTCTTATATTACTTCCCATAACTTCATTGTTTGTGTTCAGAGACTTGAAAGGTCATTGTGACTTAAAAACTCATCTGGAAGCCTGAAGATGGGACAACATGTTTTAATCTCTAATGGGAATGTACAGTACACTGAAGTAGGCTAACTCAGCATAAGGCTCTGTACTTGGAAGTTTAACTGGGTTTTCATCAAGGAGGAAGCATGAGCCAATAGATGGGAAGTGGAAGACCAAAGTTGTATCCCCAGCTCTGAACTGAGTGGTCTCTTAAGCTTTCTGTGCCTTGTTACTCGTCTGTCAAGTGGGAGTAATGGAGTAGTTGTACCTGTCCACCAATGTGAAGTGTTGAAATCTTCAGAAGAGAAGCACTGTCACAGACAAATATTAGAACAATTGATGTAAATGGATGAAATGTCAGTTGCAGTTTAATATATAACTCTATAAGCAATGTGGCTAGTTAATTTCTTTTACTTTATATTATAAATGAGAGGGTTTTCTGCATTATTGCTTCATTCCTAAAACTGAGCAGCCACTGTCATCCATCATAATTGGATGTATCAGCCTTTATTAAAAAAACAAAACACTGAATCCACCTTTACAAACAGAGTATCCTGAAATCTTTCTTTGCCCGGCACTATTATTTTTCCTGGATCATAAGAGCCTTGTTCCTGTATAAAATAACAGTGGAGAATTACAAATAAAAGAACAAAGGCATGAAAAGGAAAGAAATCCTGGTGCTTTTAACTATCAAGTCACATCCCTGTTTCCAACACATCTGAGTTTGAATCCTTCCTGGTCATAAACAGTTTCTGTTAGAACTAGGCTGTCCACAAACAGAGGGAGTTCCATTTTAATTAGAGATCGTAATTCAAAAACACCTATTGTCATTGTAAAATCTGGAATAACCTTAATCCAGAGATGGGTAAAACTCAGTGTTTTAACTTCACACAGATTAGAAGAAATAATAGAAATCTTATGAGGAGTCATTGGAAATGATAAAATGAAATAAAAAGATTGGGCCAGCATGGTCCTTACAGAATTTCAATATAATTTGTTGTCACTGAGAATTCTGTACAGGAGGATTTTCAGAATCAGGCCCAGTCCTATGTGATTGGGTTCTAGTGACACCATCATAGGACCCAACCACACCAGCCACACTATCAGGGGCTCATTCACCTGCACATCTACTAATGTGATGTATGTCATCATGTGCCAGCAATGCCCCTCTGCCATGTACATTGGCCAAACCAGACAGTCTCTACGTAAAAAGATAAATGGGCACAAATCACATATCAGGAATGGTAACATACAAAAGCTAGTAGGAGAACAATTTAATCTCCCTGGACACTCAATAACAGATTTAAAGTAGCCATTCTTCAACAAAAAATCTTCAGAAACAGACTTCAAAGAGAAACTGCAGAGCTACAATTCATTTGCAAACTTAACACCATCAATTTGGGCTTGAATAGGGACTGGAAGTGGCTGGCTTAAGCAATTTCCCTCTCTTGGTATTGACACCTCCTTATCAATTATTGGGACTGGACCACATCCACCCTGACTGAATGCCTACATCTGTAATTTTCAATCCATGTATCTGAAGAAGTGGGTTTTTACCCACGAAAGCTTATGCCCAAATAAATCTGTTAGTCTTTAAGGTGCCACCAGACTCCTTGTTGTTTTTCTATATTGATAAGAATTTCAGTAAAACAAAGGATATCACAATAATGATTTCCCTTGGATTTATTGGGCCAAATTCTCTGTGGGTGGATAACTTTACTGGAGTTAAAGCAGCAGAGAATTTGGCCCATACGTATTTGCTTCCATTGTTAAATTATGTGGAGTAATAATTCAGGAGTAGACAGCTGAGGATCTACCTTCCCTGCAAAAAGAAAAGTGTTTTTTACATGGCGATAGCTAACTTAAGAAAGCTCTCTCAGGGTACATCTACATGGGGATAAAAGCCCTGTGGAATGGCTGCTGCTGGCTCAGGTCAGCTGACTTGGGTGTGGGGCTGTGTAGATGTTTGGGCTCGGGCTTGAGTCTGAGCTCTGGGACACTGCGAGCATGAAGAGTCCCACAACTGGGACTCCAGCCCAAGCCCAAATGTCTACACAGCAATTTTTCAGCCTCAGAGCCCAAGTCACCTGAGCTGACCTGAACCAGCCACAGGTTTTTTATCCCTGTGAATCATACCCTCAATGTAAATCATAGTGCAGACAAGGCACAGGTAATTTTTACTTCAGTGTAGTTAGCTAACAAAAACCCTGGATGGGGGTTCTAAGTACTCCTCAACTAGCTATATTGAGGTGTAAATCTACCCCGGGTTTATGTCCTTTAAAATTTTACATGGAGTCTGCTATCTTGATGTAGAAACCACACCTTTTTTTGCAGTAAAGCCATAGCTCTTTGAGACTCTTGGCTTTAATGAGTCTGATCATAGCTGAAATGTGAGGTTTGGGCTATTTCTGCAGCTAGTGTGTAGGAGGAGTTTGGTAAATTTACTAACATAGTACATGCAGCATTTCCCCAATGTTATGATTTTCAAAATTTTATCATTAAAATATTATATTGTGCACTTTTGTGGGTCTGGCATATCAGTTATGCCAAATATTTACATTCACATTAAGCATTAATCCTAAACAGATTTAAAAAATCAACTGATCCATTGGAGAAGAAACATTTGTTTTATATTGTGCCACTGTAAAATATACTGCAGATGTTTTGAACCTAGAGAATTCAAATGAAAAATATAGACCCTATCTGTAAACCTACCTACTTCAGTAGAAAACTTTTCATTTTTAAACTTTATGGCTGCAGTTCTTCTAGCAATATATTCAAGTTAATGCTATTGTTCGGGTAATGGAACAATAATTAACTTTCCTCCTTGATTTAAATTTGTCTCTTTTATGACCTGTATGCAATCCTGATGCTTTTACCTATCATTGTTCCTAAAGTGTGACAGTTGGAATCCTCCCTCATCATTAGCAGGTCTCATTAGAACAGTACAGACTTTAGTATGCAGTTTGCCAAGTACTTCATAAACATGAATGAATTAAAGCTCCCAACGAGCCTATGAAAGGCAGGTAAAGAATATTTGATATCAAACTAAAATGTAAAAATGTGGATCACTCGCTCATGACTACCGCTGTTATGGGGAAAATATGATCAAGTATTAGTGACAACTTACATTTATGTTATAGCTTTCATCCTGAGGTATTCCACAGTGCCTTACCAAACAATATTCTGGAATCATGTTACCTGCCACTGAAATGAACCCACCTCCAGTGTAGAGTTTGTCAGAAACTGAAAGATTTTGAATTGGAATAAAAAAAAAAATAGAAAATTTGAAATGTATTGCAAAACTAGAAAAATAGAAACATTTTGATTCAACCTTATCAAAATATTTTCATTTTAATAAGGTCAAAGTAGTTTCATTTTCACTTTATCAACATGAGTATATAGGAATATAATTTAATTAATTAATTATAGTTAATAAGTCCTCAATATGAGCTCTCAGTGCAGTGCTGTGGCAAAAAGGACTAATGCGATCCTTGACTATATAAAAAGGGGAATAGCAAGTAGAAGTAGGGAAGATAATCTTGTCTCTGTACACAGCATGGGTACGACCACTACTAGAATAGTGTGTGCAGTTCTGGTGTCCACAAATTTCAAGAAGGATGAGGGAATACTGGAGAGAGGTAAAAGAATGGCCACACCAGTGATCCAGAGGCTGGAAAACAAGTTTTATGATGTCCAGCTTAAAGAGCTCAACTTATCACCTTATCCAAGAAAAGGCTGAGAGGTGATTTGATCCCTGTGTATAGATATCAGAGGGGTAGCTGTGTTAGTCTGGATCTGTAAAAAGCAACAGAGTCCTGTGGCACCTTATGGACTAACAGATGTACTGGAGCTTATGCTTTTGTAGGGGTATTCACCCACGAAAGCTTATGCTCCAATACGTCTGTTAGTCTATAAGGTGCCACAGGACTCTGTCGCTTTTAATGGATACTTACACATGGAAAAGATAGGAGAGAGGGGGACTTTTCAACCTTGTTGATAAAGGCATAACAAGATCCAACTAGAAATTGAAGTTAGACAAATTCAGCCTTGAAATAGATGCAATTGCCTAATAGTGATGGTAATGAAACATTGGAACAAATTTCCAGGAGAAATGGTGTATTCACCATCACCATTAAAACCAGATAAGGGAGCTTTCTAAAAAATATGCTTTTATCGGGCTGGGTGGTTGCGGTGGCTCCTTCTGACCTTAGAATCTGTGAGTCTGCAAATTTATGAATCTCACTGATCATCCCCTTCCTTCATTGGCGACGGGTAGAACAGAATCGATTGCCTGCATTCTCCATTCACCATGCTCATAACACTTGCAACTCTGCATTACGACAGTGACTGTAATCAAATCTCCTTTACGGCTTCAACTGGTCGCATGCAGGAGTCAGAAAGGATTTTTTCCTCCCTGATGCAGAATCTCCTAGATGTATTATCTCTCCTCCTCGTCTTCCCTTTTTTCTAAAGTATCAGAGATTGGCCACAGCTGGGGATAGGTCACTCACAGGGTGTAATAGTGCTCTGAGGTGGTATTGTACTAAGAATCGTCTTTCTAGATGCCTGGCTGGTGTGTCTTGCTCACATGCTTAGGGTCAAACTGATCACCAGATTTGGGGTCAGAAAGGAGCTTTTCCCCCTGTAAGATTGGTAGAGATCTTGGAGTTTTTGGGGTTTTTTTGCCTTCCTGTGTAGCATGGGGCTTGGATCACCTGCTAGAATCACAGTGTCACATCCCACCAAATCTATTTCCTGCCTTTGCAGGGGCCTTGGGCATTGGTGGTACTTCAGTCTTTTGTGTTTTCTGCCTATGGTTCACAACACTTTAGTCTTCTGAGGACTGAAATGCTTTGGTTTAACTAAAGTCACTGGGCTCAGTATAAGGGTATCTAGGAGAAACTCAATGGTCTGTGATATACAGGAGGTCAGACTAGATGATCTAATGGTCCCTTCTGGCCTTAAACTCTATGAAACTATTAATTATAAAAATCAAAATGTTTTGACTATTATACTATGCGATGCCATATATATATATCATGGCAGGACATTCTGATATGACATAATAGAGTCAAAACATTTCCACTTTGATATTATATTTTATTGCCTTTTTATCTTATTTAATTTACATTGTATTTTATTTTTTATTATATATTATAAATTGTGAATTGGTAATTGGTTTTTAAATTGGCATTTTAAGTGGTACTTGGTATTCTAACTGGCAACTACTATTCTAATTGCTTATTGAGGCTTTTGGTTAATTGGTACTCAGCTTGCTCAGTTGGTATTTTAAATAGTTATTTGTAATTAGAGTTCTGATTGGTAATTGACATTTGTTTACTAATGGGTTTTGTAATTGGTAATGTCCAGTTGTAATTGATATTATATACAAATATAAAATAAACTAAACTGTGAGTGTGTGTGTGTATAAAAAATGGACAGTTAGGGAGCCAGCATCATACTGGAATATTGCCAAGATGTTGGACCTCTACTCTAAACAATCCTACTCTTGAGAAAAGTACCATGGGGTCTATAATGAGAACAAGGACCTCCAGGCTTGTCACATCCAATATACAGAATAATTCAAAGCTCTTTCAAATGTTAATTTCAGTTTCTTATGCATTGATTGACCTAGTGCGGTGAAATCAGCAAGCTAGCTTATTTCAAAGGAAATGTTTCTATTAGGGCTGTTTGAAAATTTCCCCTCAAACCTGTTTCTTGATGGAAAATCTGTTTTTCGATCAAAAACATTTTTTTCATGGAAAGTGTTCTCTTTGTGTGGAAAATTTCAAATTTGAAAAACCAAATGCCCAAAAAGCTTATGGTTTTAGACTGTAAACCTAAATATTTTGATTGAAAAATGCTGCTATGGTACCTCATGGGAGTGGACATTTGGTTATCTTATGTCTCCATTCTCCTTTGTGTGCCTGACTCCTCAGCCCAACTTTATCTCCTCTGATGCATCATGAGCATGTTACTCCCACAATGCACTGCCTCTCCACACCAAGACTCTCCACACCAAAATGTGGTGCATCATGGGAGATGATCAGGCAGGCTGGTATATAAAGGAGAAAGGAAGCATGAGGAACCTGAACTACAAATCTCATGAAACATCACAGCTGCTTTTACAAACTGAAACCATTTTCCAACCAGCTTTTGTTACTATATACAAAATAAATGAGTCTTTCCACATATCACAAATGGAAGGAAAAATAACTAGATGTTTTGGACCAACAGAGCATTCCAAACCATTCTCAGCACTTGAATGGTATGTGTGGAGGAAGAAAAAAAATGTGCATCCATCTGGCTGAACAATGCACAACTAATTCTTTGAATACTGAAACACACACTTATTTAATGGTAGACATGGGGATTACCACTGACAGCTTAGAAAAGAAGATTCATAGACAGTGTTATTTAGGGTCATAAGAAGGTTGGGGCCTTCTATAATGAATGAGAATTATTTTATTAGAATTGATGTGCTTTAGAAGCATTAACAGTAGAGCTCATTCCAAATTTTCCAAATACTGATTTCTCAAAACTGATACTATTCGTGGGACAGGTTCAATTTCGCTAACTCTCCCGATTTGAAAAATTGTGAAAGAAAAAGTTTTGAAATTATCAAAATGGCCTGTTTTAACATTTTCAAAATGAAAAGTGTTGGTTTGGGGTTCAAAATGACTTTTCGTTTTGAAAGAAAAAAAAGGCTAAAAAAAGTTGAAATCAAAGTGAAACCTTTCAAAATGATCAAAATAAAAGGTTTTGATTGACCCAATCCAATTTTTTTTTTATTATTGTTTCATGAAAACTTCCAACATTTCACTTTTTTTTTCATCTGGATTCAGGATGGGAAAATTTTTGTGAAATCTCAAAAACTCTCATGGGATGGGAAAACCATTTCTAACCCATCTTTAATCAGCATGTTTATTGAGTATAGCCTATATGTTTTGATTAATGAAATAATTAATATGATGAAACAATTTTACAGGATTGTTTGGGGCCAATTAGATCTCTATGAATAATGAAAAATTCATATTTATATACAGATAAATAACTCATTGAATGCAGTGGGTCATAGTATTCATTATGTATAACATGTATAGATGACCCTGGAATTATATGTGAGTACCCAGAAAGCTTCTCAAAGTTTTACCAAGAAGTGTGGTGGTTGCTCTTCATTCTCCTTCTGTTGTCGCTTCACTGACCAATCGAAAGAGCAAAATAATACCATGTGACCAATCACACACCAGTAATTGTGAATAATGAATAGCACATAGTTATAGTGAATAGTTTATGAATAGATCACAAACCAGCCATTGTCTGACAATTATTCGTCCAACAAGCTGGTAATACTTGTGAACAGTGACTACATTTACAGCCTTCAGTGCTGGGACTGTCTCATGCATATGTGCAGTTCTAGAATAACGTGGATGTAATCCCATTTGGGTTCCCTAGGTGGTACCATAAGCCCTCAAAGCTCATTAGTTTCAACAGGAGTCGAGGGCATTACACCACACAGAAGTGACTCTATAGTTTGAAGGACTGATGCCTTACTGTACAGTGCTCATATGAATCTCCCAAATCCTGTTCAATGCTGATGAAAATTAATTAAAATCCTATGTGTGTTGCTTGTGCTCTGATGGATTATTTAACTAGCCATGTGAAAAAATGCTTGATCCATGCCACGAAAACAAACAAAACCAGATTCACTGTACGAATCTTAAAAGTGATATTTAAGCAATTATGATAGAACTGTTCTGAGTGGGTTTTTAGTGTATTTTCTTTTCTCTGGTGATAGTTGAAACAAGGGAGATTTCTTTGTTATACAAATTCTTCAGAGCTGTCAATGAGATTGTAAAAAGCTGACAGTTGTGTTTTGTGGACAGATTGTCTCTTTTATTATATAATCATTCATTGTCCAAGTGGCAAAGCATTTGGTTGTGAACAACACAAGGAATGTTGTTGCTGATCTTAGCCACATATACACTAAACTACTCCTAGGAAAACAATTGTCAAGCAATGAAAAATACACTGGGCCATATTCTTCCTTGGTATAACGTCACTGAAATGACTGGAGTTTAACAGCGTCAGTGAAGTTACACCAGGGATGAATTTTGCTTATTCATTTTACATCCTGTCTATTTTATTAAATACCTTTATCCTTGAATTTGAAAAGTTGCTCTCTGCCTGATATGCTTGAAACTAGTTTTACTTTTAAAGAAATGGACCACATCCTTGGGAGCCTTCTGGCCACACTGTGCCATTCCAGCTGCACATGGTAGCCATAAACCTGGCAGATCTGGCCATTTGATTCCTGCTGTCTGAAGGAATCCTTAGGTGGTATAGAGCAGTGGTTCTTAACCAGGGATACGTGTACCCCTGGGGGTACGTACAGGTCTTCCAGGGGTACATCAACTCATCTAGATATTTGCCTAGTTTTACAACAGGCTACATAAAAAGCACTAGTGAAGTCAGTACAAACTACAATTTCATACAGACAATGATTTGTTTATACTGCTCTATACACTGAAATGTAAGTACAATCTTTATATTCCAGTGGATGTCTTTTATATGGTAAAAAGAGAAAGTAAGCAATTTTTCAGTAATACTGTGTTGTGACACTGCTGTATTTTAACATCTGATTTTGTAAGCAAGTAGTTCTTAAGTGAGGTGAAACTTGAGGGTAGGCAAGACAAATCATACTCCTGAAAGGGGTACAGTAGTTTGAAACGCTTGAGAACCACTGGAATAGAGCTACAATAGTGACTTCTATAGCTAGTGTGTGTGGGGCATGGCCAAGTAAAAGGAGTGTGGTGTCTATGGCCCCCAAATCCCTGATTGCTGGAATGGCCCTTGAGGAATACTGGCAGTGGGTGAAAAATACCGCAGAGGCTGCTCTACTTTACAGGGAGGCGCAGTCTAGGGAGAGTCCAAGGTTCACCTTGACCAACTAGGACGTGTTCAAATTCAGTGTGTTCTGTCTACACTAGAGTTTAAATCAAGTTAGTTCAAATGTGTTAGCTAACATATTTTAAAATACACCTCGTATCCTAAGGTTTGTCTACACAAGAGATTTTTAACCTGTACAGCTGTACTTTGTGCTCCTTTCGGCAGTGTGTAGTCGGGTAGCATGGGTATAAACTAGCATGGGTATAAATAGCAGTGTAGTCGGTGAGGCATGGCTTAGGCGAGTTGAGTACAGACACACCTGCAGCAGTAGGGCATGTGCCCGAGTACATACCCTTCATGATTCTCCACTTGCCAAAGCTGTGCCTCCCCCTATGCTGCTGTTTTTAGCCGTGTAGTGTCCTGTTGCCTTCCTGCTGCTGGAGACTTTCCCCACTGCAGGGAAAGGCTCTGGCAGAGGGGAGGCAGCTCAGAAAAGCCTTTCCCAGCTGCCTGCCTCTGTCAGCGCCTTTTCCGGCCGGCCGCAGTGATAGGCTCCAGCGTTGGGGGAACTGCTGAAGCTTTTCCCTGCTGTCTGTCCCATACCAGAGTCTTCACAGTGTAGGTGCAGAAGGCTTTTCACTGCAGCATGTAGCTACGCATACCGAAATGCTAATGGCAGTTGTAGTGTAGACATAGCCATAAGTAATTAACTTGAGGTCATTAGTACTTTTGTAAAGGCTAGTCTGCATATTTCCCAAATGTTTGATCCAGGCTAATATCTGTTAGAAATGTTTGGGCAGTATCAAGACCAGCCTTTAGAAAAGTGTTAGAAAGCTCAAGTTAATTAGCAATCACTTATCTCAAAGTAAAAAAATTGCTAGGGTGGACAGGACCCTAGTGGTCATCAGGCCCCCGGCTTGAGGGAGAACAGAGATAACGAAAAGCCATGCTTCGTTCCATGATGTACTAAGCACAACTTGGACAAACCTCAGCTCTTGAACCTATTGGTTTTAAACTACAAAAACTGCATTTCTCTAGCTTTAAAAGTCTGACAAAACTCCATAAACAAAGGGATTCTCAGTTAAAGCTAAAACTCCTTCCATTGTACTATGGATAAAGACTTGCGTTATCAAAGGGTTTCCACCCAGACTGTACATTTATATCTCCAAGTCGGTAAGGGCAATTTTGTTGCAAACTCAAATGTCAACACATGCAATTTGGGTAATTGTATGACAGATACTATCAGTGTACACTCACAACAGATCCTGGATAGAAACATGGGTATTTGCACACCTTAAAACCTGCAGGTATACAAGTATTGGGTGTAAATCAATGGCCCAACCCTGCAAATTCTTGTTTGCTCACATGGGAAATCTAACTGATTCCGATGGGAGTATGGCATGAGTGAGGATTGCACATATGAGTAAGGTTTTGTTAGCCCAATGCATTATAGTGCTTACAGTATGACATGTAAAATCATTCAGTGGCTGAAGAATGTGTATCTAATTCTTGCAATATCAAAACAGATTCATTTATTTAAAAGTAAAATGGATTTAACACTGTCAGTTTAGGCATAAACCACAGGACAATGTTGTTTGAGGAGGTTAGACTGGAAACATGTAGTCCCCACTAGCTCTGAGTGAAGGACGGGATTTTAGCTAAAAGTCCTTGCTTCTGCAGAGTGAAATCAGATCCTTTTGGAAAACTCCAGCAATCATTAATTACAGTGCCACTAAAAGGCATCTCTAGAATATCATTATCCATGATGTTGTTTACAACATTGACACATACAATGTCCTTTCAAAAGTACTGACCATAATATTTACAATAACTTGTCACCTTCTGTTGAGACCCAAAGAGTAATTTATAATACAATATTAAACAGGACTTGAGGACCTTCTGTTCTACTCAAACACTTATGTGTCAGAATATTTTGTGCTTAGATTTGTTGAACAAAGCAATAGCATTTGCCACAATTATGTTGCTGATTATTTTCTGAACAAACATAGTTTGTGCATGACTTTAGATTTGTACAGCTTAATTATGTTTGTTCATAAAATAATTAGCTTGATTTCCTCTGTGCTGAATTACAAATGAAAGCCTACATTTTTAATTAACGTGTTTCAGAGAACAAACAAATCAGCAAACCAAAGTTAGAACACTTTCTTTCTACTCCCTGATGCTTTGAGACATGCTTATCTGGTGATGGTATAAACTGCCAATGTCTTGGCATTAGCGCTCCACTCTGTCTAATTGTAAACTTTAAATAACATTTTCTATACTGTGCAACTAACACCAAAAACACAAAACAAGAGCTTATTCAGGATCGTGCACACTCTCAAAGTATGCTCACCTGTGTTAGCTGTGAAGAGTTCCTGATACCGAACAGACAACTTCTGCCATTTGCTTTCAGTGAGCAGGACTGGGAAAATATTTTCCAAATCAAGCCCTTCCAACCAGTGATCAGATGCACATCATTTTATGGCACATTAGGAAAAGGAGTGGGGATGTGTGTAAAGATCAGAGCCCACTCCCGCTGCTTCTAGACCGTTAGGCATGTGTCAGCTATCTTCAGCGGGCACATTAGCTCTGGGATTCTATTTAAACTGCAATCCTTGCTGTATTTCCATTTCAGTATTATTAATCCTGGAACTCTGCTCCCATTCTCACTTGTTCACATCCCTCCCAGCCCTTCCTGCCCTGCAGGGACCCGATCCCTGTCCCACTAAGGTCTTGCTGTCTACTGATCTCAAGACTGCCAAGGCACTGTTTGTCACTATTCAGTGTGTCCTGAAGTCCTGTCACCTAAGCGCTCTCTGGTTCACATTTCGTTCCACCTCTCCCAGTGTTCCCTGGCTCCTCCGCTCTGGGACAGAAGCAGCCTGCGCTGGTAGGGTGGAAACCGCGCTGGGACTCCCAATAATATTCCCGGAAAGGACGAAAGGCTGAGGGAGGGAGATTAAATTACTCACGGAACAAAATGAGGAAGTTCTTCTGGCTCAGATAATCCCTTTTATAGGGCTTGGATGGGGACGGGAAACTTTCCAGCTCCCCAGCGCTGTAAGGAGCACAAGCGCCCTGAGACTTGACAGGAGCGCACGCAAAGACAGGCAGGCAGGGCAGTGGGGTGCAAAGGGTGGAGCGGGAGAGGAGAAGGGGTGCACAGAGGCTGGGATGGAACCGGGGCGCACAGGGGCTGGGACTGGGCGCACAGAAGCTGGGATGGGACCGGGGCACACGGGGGCTGGGACTGGGCGCACAGAGGCTGGGATGGGACCGGGGCGCACAGGGGCTTGGACTGGGCGCACAGAGGCTGGGATGGGACTGGGGCGCACAGGGGCTTGGACTGGGGGCAGAGGGCTGGGACGGGACAGGACCGGAGCGCACTTGTTGCTGTTCCTCCTCTTCTGATTTCCCAGGCAGGGTCCGGGCAGGCAGCGAGGGAGCTTTGCTGGGTAGGGACAGGCGGCGGCTCTGGCTCGCTTTCTCTGTCTGTGCGTGCCTGGGGGCAGCTACTGTGCTCAGTCCCCGAGATCCCTTCCCTGCTGTCAGGAGCCGCGCGCAGCTGCAGCCACGGGCTTGCCTCACCTCTCTGGTGAAGGAAGTTTCCCGTGTGCAGCAGAGGTACGTGCCAGCTGGTTCCTGGGGTCTGTGCCAGTTCTTGTCCCCGCTGCAGGAAGGGCTGGCTCTGCCTGTCTTTAACTCTGGTGAAGCTGCGCCCTGCGGCGCTCTCTGTCTTTGTGAAGGAAGCCGGAACGTGAGTGTGCGTCTCCTCTGCGCTGCTGGCCTGGGCTCAGACACTCCCACGCTCGCTGGGATTTTCCTCCCGCTCCCCAGTTAAATGCCCATCCTTATGGGAACCATGTCTTGTCTTCGTCTTCTCACAGCTCTATCGGGAGGGGATGATCTAATTATCTCTCTCCCACTTCTAGTAGGCAGTAAGATGAGCTGACAGGCTGAAAGGCAAGTCTGGACCTGGTTTATATGTGGGCTGCACACGCCCAGTGTGAATGCTCAGAACCTCTGAGAATCAGTCCAGAACTAGAGCTGGTCGGGAAATGTGAATGTATTGGGGAGGGGGAAGGAAATGGGTTTTAAAAAGGGTTTTTTAAATAATTTCCTGCAAAAAAAGTTTGGGGTTTTTGGTTGAACAAACAAACAAACCAGTGCCCTAACAAGGGCAAAGAGACTGAGGCACTTGCCTAGGGCACACAAATCGGGGGGGGGGGGGAGTGGCACAGAAAGCGGTGGAGAGGGGAAAAAAAAGCTGCTGGCAGGGAGAGATTTATAACCCAGGTGATCTCCCCCCGCCCCCCGTGCCTCCCCCGAGTGTCCCCCGACCCCGACTTGCTTTCCCCCCACCCTTCTTCCTGGCCCCAGAGCAGAGCAGCTCCATGCTACCTCCCTGCAGCAACTGCTGCCACAGGGTCCTAGTGCCCCCCCATCTCCACTGCCAGGGCAGACTGACTCTGAGCCTGCCCTTCCCCCTCAGACCCTTTCATTTTCCAATGGGACCCTCCAGCAGCACAGGCCCCCGCCCGCAGTCACTGCTCCTGCCCCATGCTGGGCAAGGAGGCAGCCCCAGCCCTCACCCCCAGTGAGGCTACAGACAGGGGCAACAGCAAGGGAGGAGGCACATGCAGTGCCCCCCGGCACCCACCACAGGGGAGGCGAGGGAGATTCCTGGACCTGAGAGGGGCCCTAGGAGCACATGCAGTGACAGTGGTGAGGGTGAGTGTGCTGCTGGGGGACAGGAAAGGGTGGCTCCTCCCCCAGAGCTTGCTGCTGCCGGCAGGGAGAGGGCTGGGGGGAGTTCTCCTCTCTGGCCCCTGTCCCGGAGCAGCCTGCCTGCACCCCAAACTCATCCCCAGCCCTGCCCCATCCCAGAGCCCACACCCCCAGTCAGAGCTTTCACCCCCCACCGCACCCTGACCCGCTGCCCGAGCCCTGAACCCCTCCAGCACCCCAAACACCTCATCCCCAGTCCCAGCCCTCACCCCCCACACCCCAACCCTCTTCCCCAGCCCTGAGCCCCTCCCACACCCCAAACCTCCCATTCCCAGCCCCAGACAGAGCCCTCACCCCCCACACTCCTACTCTCGCTCTGAGCCCCTCCCACTCCAAACCCCTCATCTGCAGCCACAACCCACTGCCCTCATCCCTTAACCCCATCCCTCTGCACCCCTCCCATCCCCAAACTCCCTCCCAGAGCCTGTACCCCAATCTCCTGCCCTGGGGCCTGCACCCCAGACCTCCTCCCTCACCCAAACTCCCTCCCAGAGCCTTGGGCAGGTGGGGGGGGCAGAGTTTGGGTGGGGCATGTTCTGGGCACCACTAAAAATTCTACAAACCTGCCACGCCGATCCTGCCCTGCAAACCTGAACTCCCAGCATTCTCAGGACACATGCTGATCCCTAGTGGCCACTGCTGATATCCAGCACCTCCCTCCTCTCTTAACCTGTGAGTCCTTCTCTGGATTGGAATTGGACTGGAACCAAAGACCATCTTGGAAGCAACATTACCAGCCGAAGCAGTCAAAAATCATGAGTTGACCCCCCAAAATCACAGGCTCTACCACCGCCCCTTCATTCATTCTTCGGCGGCAATTCGGTGGCAAGACCTTCCCTCCGAGAGGGACTGAAGGACCTGCCGCCGAATTGCCGCCAAAGAGTCGGCCCTGGGGAAGGGCACAATTTTATATTCTTGCCTCGGGCGGAAAAATACCTAGTTACGGCTCTGAAATAAACCCCAGAAAATGTAAATAAAAAAAAATTTTTTTTGGTCAAAAAGCCATGCTTTTCAGGACCACTAAAAGCAAGCTTAAAATATTTCCATATAAGCACTGCAAATATATTTCATTTTGAAGAGCAAATATAAAACAAATCACACAGGCCTGAGAAAAAGCCAAGCAGTTTGTGCTTGAATTAGGATGAATAATACAAAAGTGCTTTAGAGAGAGCACCAGGGTGTAATTGTATTTGTTTATTTGATAAATAAGATGATTTTGCACTTCCATAGAATCTCTCTCAAAACGATCTTAAAGTGCATTGAAACATCAATATAATACTTATGAAGATATGATTCCCATTTTACAGATTGGGAAACTGTGATGCAGAAAGATTATGTGATTTGTCTGGAAGTCTGTGGAAGAGCCAGACATAAGACCCGGACCTCCTGTCTCCAGATGCTGTGCTGTAGTGGCAAGATTATGTTTCTACTTGCTATGAATAAACATGTGTGTGTGTGTAAATGGCAGAGGATGCGAGAGTGTTTGTGTTTGTGTGTGTTGTCCTGGGAGACAGTTTGCTCAAAAATATTTGAGATTCCCTGGGTCTTGCTTTATCATAACATATATTATATTATTACTGCACATTTTATACAAATTGCAATCATTCATAATGTGCACTTATGCAGAGCATCTGTTTTATGTTAAACATATAAACAGCTGTTCGATTTAGAAGATGTTATATTGTAATTTTTCTGTTTTCTTCCCCTGGTCTGTTTAAAATCACACTTGACTTTTTCATCCACTTTCCAGTTCTTTCCTGTTTAAATTGTATTACGAAAAAGATACACTTAAACTCTGTTGGTAGATTGCGAAACAATTTCTTCTAGGTATTTTTTATCTAAATTACACAGAATTGATGAAACAAAGCTTTCTCATCCAGCCTAATTTACACAACCTGAGTATTCATCAACATGTATGTGTCATAGGATGAACTATAATGAAACAATTTCCCATAGGAGTAGTCCAGAGCTGGTATCAGCCAAATGCAAGGGAAATTAATAGTAATCCTTATTTGGTGTAGGAACAGCCAATTGTTCTTCTTTATGGCCGGTAAGTATGCAGTGGCACTATGTGGTGGAACTCCAAAGTATCAATATCAGAAAGACCAGATTCTGGCAGGCAAACAGTACATGGCTATAAACCTAACTGTTCTCTGTACACTTATTAAGGATACCTCTTTGCTACTGAAGACAATTCAAAATGTTCAAATACAATTAAGTAACTGTACAGTTCCTTAAGAAAGCAGGATGGTCTTTTTGGTTTTTTTTTGCTTTGTTTTTTAATCATTCTGACTATTTTGGACATTTGTGCTCAAGAACCTGATCAGCTAAATCTCACACATAAATTACTGTTCAACCATCTGTTTTGAAAGTTCTTTCTGTGGGATAGATAATACAGCCATCATGCCATCCATAAGGTCTACAGGGAAAATTGATACTTGTATTGTAACAAAGACTGCTGCACAGATAATTAGAGTTCAATTCTTCTTCCTGATTAGAGTTCAGTGCTTCCTTGTGTACTTGGTATTTATGCTCACCCACTACTCAGTTAATACTAGGGTTACCATATTTAAACATTAAAAAAAGAGGACACTCCATGGGGCCCTGGTCCCGCCTCTTCCCCGGCCCCGCCCCAACTCCGCCCCTTCCCCAAAGTCCCCACCCCAACTCCGCCCCCTCCCCTGAGCGCCCCGCATTCCCCCTCCTCCCTCCCATCCATGCGAAACAGCTGCCCTAGCGCTACCGGCTTCACAGTTTGCCAGGCAGCCCCCAGACCTCCAGACCCTGCGCCCCTGGCCAGGCGCTTCCCCAGCGCAGCCGGAGCCTGGGCAGCTCTGCTCTTCAGCTGCACAAAGCTGAGGTGTCTCGGGGGAGCTGCAGGTGGATTCCCCCGCGGGCTCCGGCTGCGCTGGGGAAGCACCCGGCCGGGGGCGCAGGGTCTGGAGGTCTGGGGGCTGCCTGGCAAACCGTGAAGCCGGTAGCGCTCAGGCAGCTCGGCTCTTCAGCTGCACAGAGCTGAGGTGTCTGGGGGGAGCAGCAGCAGCAGCCGCCGCTGCCGCGGGGGAATCCACCTGCAGCTCGCAGCCTGCCGGAGCCGCTCTAAGGTACGCAGGGGATTGGGGCAGGGATGCCGGCAAAACAAAGCTGGGAGTATTTTCCCGGACATGTTCGGCTTTTTGGCAATTCCCCCCGGACAGGGATTTGAGGACCAAAAAGCCGGACATGTCCGGGAAAATCCGGACGTATGGTAACCCTAATTAATACTGTGTTAAGCTTCATACCTGTAGCAATTTCATCTTCAGTCCACTCTACTGTGGCTTTTAACCTCCTAATTCACTCACACATAAGTTCAATGTTTGAGATACAACATCTTCTTCTTGAAATACTTAGATAATTTGCTGGGAGAAAATTAGGAATCGGTACTGTTGGTAACTTCCACTAATATATCTACTAGCAACATTTCCCCGTGGGTGTCCTAGCCCACTGACATATCAATTGTATTTCTTGCTGAGCACTCATTCCATACAAACACATGCCCCTGAAAACAGAGTTACAGGGAAAACAAACTGTCAGAAGCATTAACAACGAGGAGTCCTTGTGGCACCTTAGAGACTAACAAATTTATTTGGGTATAAGCTTTCGTGGGCTATAACCCACTTCATCAGATGCATGAAGTGAAAAATACAGTAGACAGGTATAAATATACAGCACATGAAAAGATGGGAGTTGCCTTTCCAAGTGGGGGAGGGGATCAGTGCTAACCAGGCCAATTCAATTAGGGTGGATGTGGCCCATTCCCAACAGTTGACAAGAAGGTGTGAGTATTAACAGAGGGACAATACGTTTTTGTAGTGACCCAGCCACGCCCAGTCTTTATTCAGTTCTAATTTGATGGTGTCAAGGTCAGAAGCATTGTCTCTGAAAAAAGGCTTAGGATGGTAAAGATATCTGGTCCAAAGAGTACTTAAGGGCCTTCCTCTGTGCATCTGGTGCCAAGTGCTATTGCAGGCAGGATGCTGGCTTAATTAGACCATTGAACTGATGAGACTATTATTATTACTTATGTATAGTGCCTTGAGAGCTCAGCAGAGATTGGGGCTCTGATGTAAGAGACAGTCATACAGCACGTCAGGGACCACTACAGGTCTTGAAACCTGGGCCACAAGAGTCTTAGGCACAAGCACACTCTAACCTGCCACCCAGTGACCTGTTAACAATTACTAGGATAGAAGCTGAACCCCAATAGAGGACCTAGTAGACAGACCCACAGGTTGTGAGTCAAAGTTAGATTCGCATCAAGATACCAAGAGGTCAGAGGAAAGAGACAAACTGGAGATCGGAAT